ATAAAAATACGTGTACTGGTATGGCACGCAACTGCAAATATCGTTCTATCTCGAAGTAATGTTTGTTTACTCGCTTGTTTACCCGTTTGTTTATGTTGTTTACCCGCTTGTTTGTTTACATTTTGCCCTAGACATTTTCTTCCCCCCCCCCCTTTTACGCTGGGCATCAGCTTGTCGATAAATTTTCACTCTCTACATACTGCAACGCTGTTTGTTTACCTCTTTTTACTGTTTACTTATTTGTTTGTCTACTTTTTGACTGAATAAACATTCCCAAGCATCAAAATCGTGATCTTTCATTGCAATGTAAACAAGTTATGCTATTCCCAATGAAGGCTAAAATACTTGTACCGGTACCATGCACGACTTAAAATATCGTTGTATCTCGAAATGGTATTTGTTTATCTGCTTGTTTGTTTACTTGTTGTCCTAAGTATCGTTGTCTCCCCTCCTTCACTCTCAGTATCAGCTTATTGAGAAATTCTTACTAGCTACACACTGCAACGTCGTTTGTTTACCTCTTTCCATTGTTTACTTATTTGTTTGTTTATTAGTTAACTGGATGCACATTCTTAAGCACCAAAACCATACTCTTTCATTGTGATATAAACAAGTTACGCCACTCCTAATGAAGATAAAAATACGTGTACTGGTATCACACGTAACTGCAAGTACCGCTACATCCCGAAGCGCTGTTTGTTTACCAGTTTCCGCTGTTTACCTATTGCCGTCGTTTAACTGTTGCTCTAAGCATTATTTTTTCCTTCATTTTTCATGCTAAGCATCAGTTTATTGAGAAATTTCCACTGTTTACGCACTGCAACGCTGTTTGTTTACCTCGTTCGACTGTTCACTTGTTTGTTTGTTTACTACTTGATCGCACGCACATTCCTAAGCATCAAAATCGTATTTTTTCATTACGATATAATCAAGTTGTGCCGCCCCTAACGAACACAAAAATACGTGCACTGGCACCATACTCAACTTCAAATACCGCTAAATCCTTCCATCAATTCTGTAAAAAAGTGTCCAGCCCTAACGATCAACAGTTACTAAACGGCAAAATTAAATCTTTCTTGAGATCATGCAGTACCAATTTTCCATCGGAACGAATGAAGGGATCGTAAAAAATTTGGTTTTTTCGTACTTCCTACTGAAAATACCGAGACCAGCTGAGCCCTATCGGTACGAGGGACTCAGCTGATCTCGTAATTTTCAGTACGAGGAACAGTGGCTCTGCTACCACCTGTAATTTCCAAAAATCCGGTGCAACTATTGCCAAGCCTCTCGATCCTAAGCTGCATACCTTCAGAGTTAGTATTCTCACCGCTTGTTCGATGTATGTGCGCTAGCTTATCACACTTCACAGGTTCTTAGGAAATTCTCGACTTACTTTTCTCTTTAAAATCCGTAACTGAAAGGCCTTGAGCAATAAGAAATCGCAATTCACTGCGAATGCTACTTTTGAAATTCGGAAATCCGGACAGCAACGAATCCAAACGTTTATCCAATTCAGCAGCTTTGTCCCTGGAAATTTGCCAAAAATTGGACGAATCCGATAGATAATTTTTGAAAATAACGAAACAGAAGCCCAGCGAAGCCACTCTGTTTACCTGATATGTTGTGGTAGCCGTTCACAA